CATAGATATACAATTATAATGCCCTAAGTGTTACCCAGATTTTAACTGAATTGAGTTAGAATGTTGGTGTGAAAAACCTTTAGCTTCGTTTTCTATTAATCTATTTCTTTCCCTTATCTTTTCCTTTTTTCAACAATTAACAAATGGCTTATGGTATATTTAACAGATTTTATTTTAAAATATTTGTAATTTCAAATTCTAGATGTATATTGATTTGCTTGATCGATGCAGGAAAAATTTTAAGAAATAGATTTTGAGTTTTGAAAATGTCTTCAAAAACAGTGAGTATTTCTTTTTAACTGACTTTACTGCCAATTAAGGTCTGAATTGGGACAAGACTCTTTGCTCATTTGCTCATCCCTGGTTGGTGCAAATAGTTAACACACTTGGCTGCTAACCTTCTAATCCACCCAGAGGCACCTCGGAAGAAAGGTTTGGCAATCTCCTACTGAAAAATCAGCCATGAAACCCTATGGAGCACAGTTCTACTCTGACACACATGGGGGCACCGTGAGTCGGGTTTGACTCGACGGCAGCTGGTGAACTGGCTGTCTGCTCATTTGCAGAAGGATCAGCTAATTTGCACGTGGGCAGTTGTATATGAGTTTATTGAAAGTTTATCAAAGGTAGATCGATACTCAGACCACATGGCAGTTTCATGGTAGATTAATTACTTCACTATATTAATCAGATGTCACATCTAACATTTTTAGGTATAGCCTCCCCCTCGCACCTCATTGGTAACCTATACATTTTCAGGCATTGCTGCTAAGAAGATTTTTTTTTTCCTCAAAAAATATCTTAAAATAACTATAATTTCTTTCTGTTTCTGTCAAAATAGCCCCGGGCTATGTCTGCAGACTGGCAGCTGAGTCTATTATCCAGGAATGGGTAAATAGTTACATCTACTTGGATATAACTTTTTAATTTGCTTCCAGATGTTTCTGTACAGAAGCAGCTCATGATCATGAAATATGCACAGTGCGGACCAGTGACTTCACAACAGCAGAGAGATTTTGAGATTCCTTATTTTCTATATAAAAAGCAAAAAGCACTCTATCCTACAGGGAGAATTGTTCCATCTTAAACCCAAACCAAATAAAACAAGATCAAACCGGTTGCTATAGAGATGACTCCAACTGATGACCATCCCATGTGTTACAGAGCAGAACTGCTCCATGGGATTTTCTTGGTGGTAATCTTTAGGGAAGCAGATTGCCAGGCCTTTCTTCCATGGAGCCACTGAGCGGGTTCGAACAGCCAACCTCTAGGTTAGTAGTTGGGCGCAAACCATTTCCACCACCCAGGAACCTTGCTGTACTTCCGATCTACTTCCATGTTAATGGAGTTCTAAAGACTATCTTATCCCTGTGAGGAATCAAACCTTTAATTT